TACAGTAGATGGCATTATATCCGCATCTTTAGACAAAAATTTGACTCTAAAATGTGTTAGATCAATTCGTTTGTCATGTATTGATTAATTGAACACTTACTAACATATAAAACATGCGGCTTTTGTTTGGCATCACTCCAACATAAAATAGTCTCTGGTAACATCACAGATAATAAACTAGTTTCACAAGATTGCAGTAGATAGATAAGCTATTTATTACTAATGTAGTAGCACTCAGACTTTTCACTATAATAGTAGTATTTCGTAGACAACTTGCGAGCATTACATAATTTTATGTATATTAGCTCATTAATACTCTAATAATTTTGCATTCGAAGAATTTTCTTAATTCATCAAAGATAACCAATGATAATACTTTGGGCTGTTAAGATTCAGTCAACACACACGATAATCTAAAACCTCTGGATTTATTTGCCGTACATTATCAAACTAGGAAAGGCTCGGATGTCGAAGTTCAGACGTTTTGTTATAATAGGTTAATGTAAAAAAATCTAAGGCTTCGGATTATCATGTGTTAACTATATATCAATAGAGAAGTAATTGGCTGAGTTAGCTAGAACGGCAATGAAGTAGAAATCGAGATTGCACTGGGAGTCATCGTAGGAATTGTCGGTTGTTTCCCGCCTGCCGAACGTGACAATTTTGGGATCAAAGTAAGCACAAACATGCCCAATCAAATTATAAAACGGTTTGTAACATTAAATTTTCAATCTTCTTTTTAGTTCGTGTCGGTATAAAATTATAACGAAAAAAGATTTAAATTTTATATTCAAAATTATGCATATGTTCCAAGTGGGAACTGAATTTAACTGGATTTGATATTTCTTAATAAAATTCTTATTTGAGTAGAATAGACAGTTAAAAAATCAATTGATTGGTCAGTGTGATAATTTTTTAGAATGTTATTTATACAAATTATTACAATGATTGGCTATTAAAAATCACGTTGGTCAGTTGACTTATTAGTAGCGTTTTAGGGTGTTACTAAAGGGTTAAGGTTTGTAAAATATGCAGTATGTGGCAAAAAATGTTTACAACAGAACTTTTGTCTAAGCTATGCAACGCCTAACGGCACAGGATTTAAAGGTAATACTTAGCTTAAATCAAAAATTAAGAAATTTTAATGAATAATACAGCATTGAAAATTGTTATCAAAGTAATATAGGTGTTTTTGAAGATAAAGAAAGGTACTTATATGGTATTTGAATCTGATCGTGGATTGGAATTGTTGCTGAAATGATTTTAATGTTTAAAGATTATAAGAAAGTATTTGAGGCAAATAACTGTTCCTGATGAAAAAAAAACCTCCCGATTTACACATCGTTTTTGATATAGGACGTTTTTTTTTTGACTTTTATGTTACGTATTGATATTGGGTGGCAATAATGAGATTACTATATTTTTATTCCATGGCTTTATTCGATAGTAGTATAGTTTTTAGAACTCTATCAGGAACAGTACATCAATCAATTATTGAAGTCTTTTTCGTCTTGTAGAATGTTGATCATGATTAAGTTAAAA